GGTAGGAGTTTGCCCCTTGGCAAAATCCCAGAGCACCTGCTGGAATGATCCGTCACGGGTCCCGCGGCGCTGGCAGCCGAGGTGCCGGCGCGCTCCCGGGCGCTGGTGGTTCTGTAGTAACATCGTGTTCTGTTCATTGGCAGAGACCATGGCGGCCCAGAGGGAATGGAGCCCGATGGTGTCATCGAGGTGAGCACCTGTGAACCGACCTGAGAATTTAGTCGCTGGTGAAGATGGGTATTGTGTTTAATATTTTCCTTTTTTTTTTTTTCCATTACAGAGCAATTGGAATGAGATTGTTGACAATTTTGATGATATGAATTTAAAAGAATCCCTTCTAAGGGGCATTTATGCTTATGGTTTCGAGAAGCCTTCAGCTATTCAGCAGAGAGCTATCATTCCATGCATTAAAGGTATGTAGGTAATTCGTTGATTATCAACATGGAATATTTAGAAAAGCATTGTAAAATGCATACATTGCTTTATTAGTGTGCAGTGATACTTATCTTCAATCTTAAAAAGTGATATGATGGTACACCATCTTTCGGGACTGACCTGAAATGGAGAGAACTTTATAGTACTGATCACTTGATTCAAAGGGAATTAAATAAAACTAAAAACCATGAATGACCTCTGGGAGCAGTAAATGTGTATCCTACTTTTTTTAGGGTATGATGTGATTGCTCAAGCTCAGTCAGGTACTGGCAAGACAGCCACATTTGCTATTTCCATCCTGCAGCAGTTGGAGATTGATCTCAAGGAGTCCCAGGCACTAGTACTGGCCCCTACCAGAGAACTGGCTCAACAGGTATTGATAGTGTAGTTTAAAAAAAATAAATGCTTGTGTGTTGCATAGGTTTCAGGTTTCACAACTGTGAGACAACAAATAGACTTCTCAAGGGGCTGTAATTAATATCCATTCAGAACCCCTTTTGTGTGAAGTAATGGGGGATACAAGCTGGCTTCTGTCCCACAGGTTCTCTGCCTGCTTGAAAAGCTGAGTTGATGCCCATGGAGGGTGTGCTGGGGCAAAGGTACAGAAGCCACCTTCTGTGCTGGATGTGGTTAAGGTGTGGCAGCATCTCTAGCAGAAAACCAGCTTGAAAGCACAGTGTTCTGAGTGGAAACAAAATTTACTGGTTTTGGAAGCTATTTGAACCTGAGTGCAGTTGTGCAACATGAAAACTGCAGTGCACATGTGGTCACTTAGATTTTTTTTTTTAATGTCTTTGTTTGTTTTCTTGACAATGTAATTGCATGTCTGCTTAACCTTCCAGGCTTGGTATTTTGTAAAGCTAAGTAAATGTCTCTTCACAAAACTTATAGAATACTTAAATTTTTAGGGTAACAGTACTTGTAATGTGGGGTCTTGAAACGTTAAACCCAACTTGAAATAGAAAACATCATTTTCAAGTAGAATATACTAAAATGCCAGTGCTCTAGTGACAGTTCTTCAAGGTAAAGCTGAACATAACTAAATCAGACAGAAAAGAGTCTAAAAATTTGGTGAACAAGAGCCTCTGATCAGAAGGTTAAGCCTTTGTTCTATTCTGAAGCCATTGGTGAGGTGGGAGTTGTTTTGAAGCCTGTAGTGCACTTGCAAACAGCTCACAGAATAGTACAAGTGCTTAATGCAGGCCTGAGCAGCTGAGAGCTTGGGCTCACTTTGGGAGGCCCTGCCTTCAGCTTAGTAATTGATTCATGGTAGTCACTCTTCTAGTAAGTTCAAATAGTAAGGACAAAAATGTAACTTAAAGTGCCTCTCTGACTTAAGGTTAATGGTAAATAATGTGCAGTTAGGCAAAGGCATTTTAACAACAGTCTCTTATAAGAGCTGTGTAGTCTTTGTTTGCTGTCCTGGTTTCCAAAATCCATAAATGCCAGTGATGATGGGCCTTAATCTTTATTGTACCAGGAACTACTAATGGAAGGTTCTATTTTAGATTCAGAAGGTAATCCTGGCCCTTGGAGACTACATGGGAGCAACATGCCATGCTTGTATTGGTGGCACAAATGTGCGCAATGAAATGCAGAAGCTCCAGGCTGAGGCTCCGCATATCGTGGTCGGAACTCCGGGGCGTGTGTTTGACATGTTAAACAGGCGCTACCTTTGTAAGTATGAACTCAGTCGTGCTCTTAAAGAAATTCCCAGTATAAATCTCATACCCAGTAAGAGCTTTTGCTGGAAAGGGTAGTACTAAAGGAGAGTGATATTCAGAAAGGACTTGGTGTGTTTCTGAAACCTCATGAGATGCTACTTTGTTTTTTTCCAATAGCGCCTAAATGGATCAAAATGTTTGTTCTGGATGAAGCTGATGAAATGTTGAGCCGTGGATTTAAGGATCAAATTTATGAGATCTTTCAAAAACTTAGCACAAACATCCAGGTAAAAAGCTTTTACATGGTTAAATTGATGGATGCAGATTTGATTACAGTGTGGCTGAGAACTGAATTGTAGACATTGGTGTCCTGGGTACATGCTAACACAGAGTAATGTGTTCCAGGTTGTGCTGCTGTCAGCTACAATGCCAATGGATGTGTTGGAAGTGACCAAAAAGTTCATGAGAGATCCCATCCGTATCTTAGTAAAGAAGGAAGAACTGACTCTGGAGGGTATCAAGCAGTTCTACATTAATGTTGAGAGAGAGGTTGGTATCAGTTGTACTTGCTCTGACAGGACAGCTTAATCTCTTACCTTCTTGTTAAAGCACTGTACTAAAATTGCAGGAATCAAGGCTGAGCTTTGGTTTCTGCAATAATGCTAGTAGAGTACATGCAAGAAGAAGAAAAATTCAGCACTGGATCGAAAAGACTAGGGTGGACCTCTTTCTTAATGTCCAGTGTCCTGTGTCTTAAGATTTGGTGCAACAGTTGATGCAAAAATATGACTTAGTCTCTTCGTTCCAACTTTCCAGATCATACTAAATACTGTGTGTGAGAGGATGCTTCATTAGTTGTTGTATTGGAGTTTTATTCCTTGTTTGAAGGTCTTATGTATGAGCTGTCCATGGCATGATGCATTTCCTTATCTTCCTTGTTTCTTTTCAGGAATGGAAGCTGGATACTCTCTGTGATCTGTATGAGACACTGACCATTACACAGGCTGTTATTTTCCTGAATACAAGGAGAAAAGTAGACTGGCTTACAGAGAAAATGCATGCCAGGGACTTCACAGTCTCAGCTCTGGTAGGAATTGATACTTCCACATCACTTCTGAAATGTCCTGTATGTACTGGGAAAGAAATGGTAATGAGGGGTATTGGAATGAGAAGCAGGAAAGTTATAATATAGCTGTGCAGTGCTGTATTATCGTTCCCCCTGCTTAAAGTAAAGTGCTTCCTTTCTATCCCTACCTGCTTCGCTCCCACGGCAGGTAGGGACGCTGGGTTTCACAC